AGCACTAGCACTAGCACTAGCAGCAGCAGTAGCAGCAGTAGCAGCAGTAGCAGTAGCAGTAGCAGTAGCAGCAGCAGCAGCAGCAGCAGCAGCAGCAGGAGGAGGAGGAGGAGTAGTAGTAGTAGAGGAGTACTATAGCTGATATTGTTAATTGGCCAACATCTGCCTTCTCCTCATCACTGCTGCAGGCGCCTGGGTCGTACAGCATGTCCTGGGTGGCTCTTCATGGGACCACGGATTTTTGTTTGTGGTTTAGGAAGTTTAGGGTTTACAGGAATAGGTAACCATACACGACCACAAGCGAAGTGAACAGCATCGATTGCTACCAAGTGTCATGGTTGCCATAGACGCTGTACCATGGCACGCTGCGCACGCTTGAGGAGTAGACGTTGCGCCACTTGCTGTGCCACGCCGAGTCGTCCTTGCTTGTGACACCACCCGGATAGAACGAGTCGCCAACATTGATGACAAACTTCACGTCCCCCAGTTCGGTGAACTCCTGGTGCATCCGGCTGGCGATCACGCCCTGGCAGTGCCGACCCACATTTCCATGCGCCACGCCGTCATAGCCCCAATCCCCAATCACCATAAAGGATGCGACGCGCGTAGCCGTCTGCTCATCGTCTCCGAAACACCCGAGGGGTCCGTCGAGCACAGCCAGGATAAGCAGCCATTGACTCAAGGGCAAGTACGCCATTCTCGGCTTCGGCTTCTGGCTGTTTCCTATTGAGCCCAAAGGAGCTGAAGCACACAGCGGGTTTGTGCGCTCACTCCGTGCGTTCTCTTGTAAATGCAGGCTGTCTTCGATTATATGTCCATGTCCGAGGTCGTGCAGGACAACGCTGCTCGATGTCGGTGCATACACTTGACTAGCAGAAGACTTGCGGCACCTTGTGACATGTATGACTGCATCTTTCTGTGACTGTCTCAGGCTGCACCATGGTGTATGCCATCGCGTTGTACGGCTAAGCTGCTATGCTCTACGAAGCTGCGTTTGCATTACATGGTGTGGCCTTACACTGTACTGTGGCATGTCGTGTCGCACTTCAAAAAGGTGCTGTGCAGTCGCTTTTGCCATGTGATATGCTGCTTTGTTCGTGGTTGATTCCGATACTGATAACATCCTTCATCTGTGCATGTGTGTATATATATATGTATACACACACACTTTTGCTTGATACTTCTCGCCTGTTAACTCCTCCGCAGTGGCTGAGGCACACAGGCGGATCGGTAACACTCTGCCATGGGCCACGTCTCAGAAGCCTCTCCCTGTATCCCACTACTTCTGGCAGATTTCACCAGCACCACCAGGCACTGCGAGTCCGAAATATGACCGGGATATATGAAGCCGAATGCACTCCGCAAGCAACCATCAGCTTAGATACTACTGGGTCCTAATACTACACTTCGACCAGCAGCATCCACAGGCAGCTGCATGTTCAGGGTTCAAAGTGTCCAGGTTTAGGAATTGGGCTTCTCTAGTCGCGGAGAGAGGAAGAAGCACATGCCGGCATGACCCCGCAGGCTCGCGTCAGGAAGCCAAGGCTCTGAGGCTTGTGGGGTAAATTTTAATGATAACTTAAAGGTAAGGTCTACTAGTAGCTCTATATCGTATATATATATACATATATATATATAGATAGGTACCAGTAAACCCTCTCTCCCAAGAAGTGGACGTGCTGTCTTGTCCCAGCCAGGCTGCATCTTAGCGTGTGTCTAGGCTTTAAGGATTTTTGCCTCCTGCCTTGCTGAACCAGTCACTAGGAAGGCATGAAACAAGACATTCCAGCAAACCCTTCATGTGGGCTTCCATTGCAAGACGGTTGATTAAAACACACTGTCACTGCAGAGCACAACACAGCGAAAGAGTCGCCTCTGTGTTCCACACTTCTGTACGCGGCAAGCTCTTTGTGTGGCCAGTTGCCCGACTAGGGTTTAGGGTCGGAGGCCTCAGGAAGCTGGAAAGTGTGGCAACTAGGGTGAAGAGACAAAGGTTGCGATTTCTCCTAACTCCGAGGCCCTACTGCTTTCAATTCTGACACCCCACGCTCTGACCCCTCAAACTTTCATCCGAATGCTTTTGTGAACCCGGGACCCCTTGAATTCGAAACCTAAACCTGACATCTTGAACTGAGCTGCAGACCCTTTTTGAACCAGGTTTAAGGTCAAGGTTTGGGGTTTTAGGGGTTTAGGGATCCTGAAATCCGAAAGCCCCAACTACAGGCCGTTTTGAAGCCGCCAGCACTCACCACTTAACCTTTAAAGCGGCGATTTTTTGGGAGAGCCTTCGGCCCTTAAAGTTCCACAACTCGGGCAAGCCAGGCGAGGTCTCACATAGTCTGGTCGGTGTGACACATCATATGATACTACCCCAGCTTGGGGCAGTTTAAGGTCTTACAGGATTTTGGGTTTTCGGCCCAAGGTTTGGACTTTTGCAGGGCTCTGCTTGTCGACAGGCTTTCTTCAGGTTTTCCTGCGAGGGTTCAAGGTCACGGTGTAGAGTTCTGATCCGGCACAGGACGCAGGTGTTGTGGCCGCTGGCCATTCTCAACGCAGACAGCCGACACATACCTGAAGTCACACTCTGGTCCGGAAGCAAAAGCGGTGGGCAATGGGCCTGCACTGCCGGAGCCGTGGATCCCACCAAACCCAACATCCGAAAAACCTTGGCGCCTGACTGCAAGACCCTAAAGGCCACTTACCCCGAAGGTTGGACGTTTAACATTGCTCAACTCTTTCAGCACCCTCAGGCATTAGTATACGAACATTCTGCTATCGGAGAAGTCTCAAAGCCCAATACCATGATCTGAGAGCCCCGGCCTCTCACACCCGATGTCCTTAAACCCTAGACCCCACCAAAAAAAGGAGAGACCTCTCACGAGCCCATGTCTGAAGCACTTTTTTTCCGATCTCGCGACGATGTCCAATTCTTCTTGTACCTTGGAGATGCTGTCCGGACAGTCACAGGGCCCAGTTCTGGGCCCACCTGTCCCTTAAAGGTACGGTTTAGGTTTAATGGCAAGGCTCTGGGTTCTGGATAAAAGTGTCGGCGTAGAAACCTTCTAGAGTCTGCTTAGGGCCTTCTTCTAGGCCTTGCTACATCGGGAGCGCTCTCAAGTCGCGTAGCCTTGTGTCGATCCGGGAACCCAAGTTTCGGAGTTTCCGTCAAAAGTCCTCCGAATCCCAACCTTCAGAGCCAAACCTTCAGAGCCCCGTCCCTGACCTGAGAACAGAACCCAAAGGCTTCGTCGGCCTAAGCATGCGCTAAGGGGTGGGAGGGCCTGAGGCTTTAGAGTATACTATCGTACCGGTAATCACTAGCTTGCAACATCTCGAGGCACCTGCGTTTGTCACGTGCCGTGGCATGCACCGCCACTTCTCTGAAGAGGCGGAGCAGCATTGATTCGATAACTGCGCAAGTAAGCTTCTAAGCACAACCCGCCAGGACGTCAGCACGTGGTCCAACCATCGACCAACTCCGGACGGCAAACCTGCTCCTGCCCCGAAGCTCCAAGACCAAAATCTCTAAACCAAGGAACTCTGACGATGCACGAAGTCGCCTGGTACAGTCTGCAGGTTCTATGCTCGGAAGCTCGCGAAGAGCTAAGTGCAACTCCGGCCGGAGTCTTCAAAGCAGTGACTCTCTTGTATCGTACCAGAAAGTATATGGCCCTTTTTGCTTAGTGGCTCGGGCCTGCTGCGGGCTTGAAGCTTGATAACCCTAAACCCTAAGCCCCTAAACCCCTAGACCCCTAAACCCTAAACCCTAAAACCTAACCCTAAACCCTAAACCCTGAACCCCTAAACCCCTAAAAACCCCTAAACCCCTAAACCCTTAAAGCCGGGAAACCCTGAGGACTGCATCCTGGCCCCATCGGCAACCCAACACCGCCCTCCTAACCGGCAGCCTTTGAGGAAAGAAGAGCTTAGGGTTTAGGGGTTTAAGGGCTCAGGGGTTTAGGGGTTTAGGGGTTTAGGGGGGTTTAGGGTTTAGGGGTTGAGGGGTTTAGGGGTTTCGACTCACACACTCGAGGGGTTTAAGGGTTGAGGGTTTAGGGGTTAGGGTTTAGGGTTTAGGGGTTTGGGGGTTTAGGGTTTAGGGGTTTCGGGGTTTTAGGGCTCAGGGTTCGAGGCTGAAGGTTGACGGCTTTGGGGCTCTTAAGGCCCTTCTGGGAGAAGGTTTAGGGCTTTAGGGTTTTAGGGTTTAGGGTTTGGATTTCTAGGTTCAGTTCTGAGATCCGGCGCCAGAGGTTACCCTGGAAAATCTGGACAGCACACCGCTGCCCAAGTTAGACGTATTCGTGCGCGAAGGGTACGCTGACCTCGGAGGCCGCGTGGAAGTTCGGCACCGTCCGCATCTCGTGAACAGGGCCATAATCGGCTGGGCAGTCACAGCCTGAGGTAGAAACGGGGGTTTAGGGCTAAAGGGGTTTAGGGTTTAGGGTTTGGGTGGTTTAGGGCTCAGGGTTGAGCATTTAGAATATAGGCTAGACGTGAAGTCGAAGAACCATAGTTAAAAGCCCATATAACCCCGTTTGAAATAGTAGTACCGTAGACCCCGTCTTCCTACGTCCTCTTTGACCTGCAGCAGAGGGCTCCGGGGGTTCAGCTGAGCTTGTGGGGACATGTTATCGGTTGGTCAATCTTGCGGCCTTCGGAGGCCCGGGGTTGAGCAGTTTAGGGTTTAGGGTTTAGGGCTTAGAGCTAGCATCTTGTAGCAAACATGCGGGCAGGACAGCGTTGGTGAGGCCCTAAGCCCGTAAAGACCCGAAGCCTTAAACCCGAAACCCTAAACCCTAAGCCCATAAACACCCGAAGACTTAAACCATAAACCCTAAACGCCACGGCCTCAACCCACAACCCCCAGCCCCCCAGCCACCTCGAATCATCTCCGAGCCGAGCCCAGCTCTGCTAGACCCTCGGTATCGGGGCTCCACTTCGAGGTTCCTTGGACTCCCAGACCCTAAACCTTAAACCCTAAACGGTTTAAGGTTTGTATCGGGGGCCTCAGCACGAGGGGCTCCGGATTCCATCCTGAAGTCCGCAATCGCCAAACACGAACACCTACGGCTGGATTGAAAGCCCCCCTAAACCCGAACCTGCTACACCCTCTCGGTCGGAGCGCTGAAGCCTGCGACGCCAAGCAAAAACACCCAAAACCCGAAGCTAAACCCTTTTGCAACTGGCCTGCTGCGACTCCGCCAGGACAAACACTTGCCTACAAAAGCCCTGAAAGCCTAAACCCTCATACTGATACCTTGAACCCTCTCTCTTTCTCGCATTCGATACCCTAAAGCCTAAACCTTGAAACCCAAAACCCCTCTCAACGCAGAACCCTAAACCCTAACACCCTGAGCAAAACCCCTCAAAACATCCAGGGGCCTTCAATGGCTGACCGAGGGTACCTTGGCCACTTCGGCTACCCAAGGCTCGAACAGGGCTTAGGGCTTCAGTGTGCCAGGGCTCTCTTTCAAAGGACTCAGCGCTTCAGAACCCTAAACCCCAAACCCTAAACCCTAAACCCTAACCCTAAAAGGGTCTAAGGTTTGCTGCTTGCCGGCTTTGACATAGAGCCTGCGAGCTTGCACCTGCATTCCTTCGCGCCCGACTTGTGGAAGACTGCCATCCGCCGTATGGCCAACCGAAAAGCCACAGGTGTCTGCGGTTGGTCCCCTGCTGACCTGAACCTCCTCCCTTATGGCGTCTTGGAGGACCTTACTGCCATCTTTCTTCAAGCAGCTTTCTGTGGCCTCCCCGAACATTTGCTCCACAAGTCCCTGCCCATCATTGTGCTCTCCTGCCTCTACCGGCTATGGTCGTCGGTCCTCGCGCACCAGGTCCTTCAGCAGTGGGCGCCCCACGGGCCATTTCAGGCTCCATGCCTCAAAGGGCGTGCCTGGATGTGAGCTACGTCAACAGTGGCAAATAGAGGCTTCCCTTCCGCCCTCTCAGTCGTGTTTGGGCCTGCCCGGCAGGTGCCATCCGTCGTCGCTAGGCGTGCCGGATGCCCGAGGTTCACTTTTTGGATCAATTGCCTGCAGAGACATGCAGGGAGCACCGTGTTCCATACGGAAGTCTCTTGCCGGGCATCGGCATGTGCCCACGGAGCCTCGGAAGGAGACACAATGAGCGCTACATTGCCAACCTGGCCTGTGCTCATGCTCAGGATTATGAGAGCCACGTTGACAACCCAGAGAGCCCAAGACCCCTTAAATAAGGAATATACCTTAAATTATAGGGGCCTTAATATTATGGTTTAAGGTCTTTTCCTTATATAAGGGGGGTTATTTGGCTCTCTGGGAACTGGTCTTGGATGTGCGCCTCTGGCCAGGCTTTGGCTGAGGTGATGCCCCGGGCCCTGTCATTCTTGGACTGCCTCGCTTTGCATGTTGATTACAAGAAAGGCTATGCTTGGTCCACACGGCGGTGTGATCGAGTATGGTGGCGAACTGAAGCTGCTGCCCTGTTCCCGGTTGGCTGCTGAAGTACATGACCTAGGTGTTGCCTTTAAGTTTGATCGCCACGGCCATCGCCAAACTCGCCATCATCGGCTTCGGGAAGGCCTCGACCGCCTGGACCGACTGCGCCAGCAGCCCCGAACCGGTGCTTGTATTGGTCTGAGGGCCACTCCCATTCCGTGTCAGAGCTTGCAGGGTTGAGGGGGCGAGCTGCAAGGGCCATCGTTGGCCAGCACAAAGTCATGTCGCCAAATTCGCCCCAGTTGCATTAGCCGTCATGAGCCGCTTGTGGTGCAGGGTCCGTTTGTGCACTGGCTTGAGCGCCAGCTCACTGCTTTCTTACGGGCCTATTTGCATGATCCTCAGAGAGCGTTCGAGGGACTTCAGGTTGTCGCAGCCTCCAAGGTGTCATCAAGTGCCGATGGCCCGGCCACAGCCTTCTGTCTATCCCTGGGCCGCCTCGGCCTAACGTTGACAACAGGTACCTGTCTTAAGGGTCTTGACAATACTAGGCTTCGTCTTGACACCTGCCAAGTGTCTGAGCAAAACACAAAGGAACCCTAAAGAAGTAGCTCTTTTCCGCTTTCTCCCCGAACCCCTAAACCCTAAACCCTAAATTCTAAAGTACCCACATAAGAACCCCCTTTGAGGCCGAGGAATTTCCTAGACTTGGCCCAAAAGGAGCCACAGGGAGGACCTAAACCCCTAAAGCCCTAAACCCTAAACCCCTAAACCCCTAAACCCCTAAACCCCTAAACCCTAAAAGGAGCCTTAGGGAGGACCACCCCTTTTTGTTGGGGCACCGAAGTCTCGGGATAACCGAGGCGAAGGTTAGGGAGGAGAGGGTTTAGGGCTTTAGGGCTTTAGGGTTTTAGGGTTCAGGGGTTTGGGGCTTTAGGGTTTTAGGTTTTTTGGGGGGTTTAGGGCTTTGGGGCTTTAGGGTTTTAGGGGTTTAGGTCTTTGGGGCTTTAGGGTTTATGTAGGGTTTAGGGTTTAGGGCTCAAGGTTTAGGATTGCTGAGAATTGTCGCCTTTTCGGGGTTCGGTGTTGAGAAGTTGGGGATTCAGGGCTTAGAGGGCTCAGGGGTGCTTGGGCCGGGGCTTCATGAACGCCGGGGGAACGTCTAGCGTCGAGTCCCCTGTCCCGAAAAGCCAAACCAACAGCCAGAACAAGCACACCAAATCCTAAACCCTAAACCGGCCTACTTGGCTTCATTTACACCCCGGACACCTGAAACGAAGACTCTTCACTTGAGCCTCTAGGTACTCTAGTTCAACACGTCATGCTTCAGGCTGTTGCATGATAAGGGGGCTTAGGGGTGAGGCGATCAGCCCCTACATGCGAGAACCCCAAACAAGTTTAGGGTTTAGGGCCTTCATATATGACCCCAAGAAACCCTACAGACCCCCGCAATCCCCCGTAAGACGCCGACATTAGCGGGTTGGCGAGCCGCCCTCGATTCACGAAGGCAGCCTCCCGGATGTTGGGTTTCAGCGGCTTTCGTTTTTTTTGGATATGGGCTCTGCCACGAGTTAGGGTTGGGGATTCCGAACATAAAATGCCAGTGGAGGGCTTTAGAACCCAAGGTTTCGGGCTTCGAGTCTGAACTGTGAGGTGTGGGTTTTACGAAACTTGAGATGTATAAGGGTAGCTGTCTAAATTAGGGTTCCTTTTAGGGTCCTTTCTATAAGGGTGGCGTACAATTTTTGGGACCTGCAAAGGGGCCCTAGTTCAGAGGACTACCCAGAAGGCGTTTAAATAATAAGGGCCGTTTCAGAGTTAAGGTTCATAAAATAGGGTTTAGAGCTTCTCAACACTTCGAGGAGGCTTGACCGTGAGCTTCGTATATCCACTAGGCCCAGGAGGGAAACAAATTCGAGCTCGAGCTACTATCATGGGAAAGGATCCCGCCTGTTATTCATACGTGTCGTCAGTCATTCAGCTGTAACGTAATCTGATCCAGGAGGCAATGTCTGCAGTTGATCAAGCACCTCGCCAGCCCCATCCCTCTTTTCATGGGTTGTTCGCCTTCTTTCTCCATACGTTTGACAGGAGGCATGTCACCTCCAAGGTCGGGGGGCAGTGCGAGACATGATAGAAGGGCCAATATAACCCGGGAGAACCCGGTGACGCTTTGTAGAACATTGAACCAAGACATCATACAGAATGAATGCAACAAGCGATGCTGCCAGCAAAGCCATAAGCATTGTATGCTTTACCTCCACAACAACTTGAAAGGACTGCATGGCATGCTATGCGAGGGAACAGTGCGACCTTGAGCCAGCCCCGCACTCGTTCCCGTTTCTCCCACGACAACCTTAGCGGCGCGGCAGTGCAAACTCCAGCTTCGCGATGCTCTCATGGAGCACCGGGAGAAGCTACAAAGGCGGAAAATCATGTCCCTTCTGGGCCCCTGCGGCTCCATCAGAACCCCCTGACTTTTCGAGGGGAGTGGCCTAAGGCCAGCAATAGGGGTGAAGAGAAAAGCAGAAGGCAAAGGACCGCTGGGTGTTGCTCCACACCACCACTGCTGCACAGGCAGTCCTCCATGCACCAGGTATGAAACAAATTCAAGTCAAGACCATGAATTTGGTTTAAGGGTTAGATGCGAGAACTATTCAGAATTGCTTGTTTGCTTTTGAACTTTTTCGCTTTCTGCTTCCCAGCGCAGCTGCAACTGGACAGGCGGACATTCTCGATTAAACCCACGTTGTTCACACGTTTGCCATCTCCCTCACGTTTTTATTTACAGCACATGGTGCAAATCTTCGTCCCTGCGTCCTATTATCTACACTGGATGCGCGCTGCACTTGTCCGCAGCTGTGGTGTGGTGCATACTTTTCGTGATTTGCAGCGGGTTCTATGTGCTGGAGGCGTGGCTCAATTGTAAATAAAAGGTATGGGCCCCCGTTGATCTAGGGAAGGGTTTCATACGCAAAACCAACGTGTTTGCACACGAAACCAGAGGGTCTATAGGGCAGGGTTTAACATCAAGCAAAGATGTTCGCAATTCGCGGCGCGAAACCAGTCTAGGGAGGGTTCAGTAGGTGCTCAGATATCTTAAACTCGCCCTCGGCCTTTGGCGATCCCGATTCATCACATGTCTTAAATATGCCCCCTCGTGTGCCGATCTAGGTTGATCACATATCTCCTTTCTTTCGCGATCCCGACGCGTGTCATATCTTAGAGAGGCGTCCCGGTTGATCACATATCTTAAACACGCCCCCTGATGAGGCGATCCCCTTGTTGATATCTTAAGCACGCCCCTTCATTCGGCGATCCAGGTTGATCACATTTCTTGAAGCTGCCCCCTCGTTTGGGGATCCCGATTCATGACATGTCCTAAACACGCCCCCTCATTCGGCGATCCAGGTTGATCACATACCTTGAACCTGCTCCCTCATTAAGCGTTAATCACATATCTTAAACTTTGACATTCATCACATATCTTAAGCACGTCCTCTCATTTGGCAACCCAGGATGAGCACGTATCTTAAGCACCTTCATCATTCAGGTTGATCACTTATCTTAAACATATCTTAACCCAGGCCCCATCCTCTGGCGAGCCCGATTCATCGCATATCTTAGGCACACCCCCTCATTAGAAGATCCCGATTCATCGCATATAATCTCAAAAATGCCCCCTCCTTGGCCGATCCAGGTTGCTCACATATCTTAAACGCACGCACTCATCAGGCGATCTTGGTTAATCACATTTCTTGAAGCCGCCCCCTCATTTGGCGATCCAAATAGCGGAAAAGCAGAAAAGCAAAAGCAAGAACAAGCAGAAAGCGACAAGCCTGCACAGGCAGAATCAGAAGGCATAAAGAACAGCGGAAAAGCTGAAAAGCGGAGGAACAGAAAAGCGAAGCAGACAAGCAAAGAACTTAAAAACCGGTCAAGCAAAAGCACAAACACACAGACAACAGAAGGTAGAACGGGAAGACACATGCAAAGCGTAGGCAACCACAAAGGCAAAAACAAAAATCCTGTAAAAGAAGGAGGGCTCCTGAGGTTTAGGGCTTGCTGCAATTTTGCGCTCAGATGCTATTCATCAGTGCACAAACATTCTTGCCGCATCGCAGCATGAAATGTTCGGCAGGCAGCAAGTGTTTGGCTGCATGAAATGCAGCTACTAACGATGTCGATCCTTCGTAAACGCTTCGCGGGTGACCACTGGTAAACTTCTGACCTTCAGTCAGACCTGGTTGGAAACTTAGATGGCAAGTGCACATCTCCTCGCCTTCGAAAACAGGAAGCAGCACGCCAACGCTACACACAGATTGCAAGCAAAGTTAAGAGCCATTTCGGGAGTGCGTCCGAAACCCGTGAATTGAATGGCGAATGACCCAGCCAGGCTGGCCAGCGCGATGAAGCCCCCGAAGAGAACCACCATCAAGCTGAACACAATGTCCTCGGATGCTTTCACATCTTCAAAGATTCGGAATGTTCCTGTGGCTTCTGGAAACTCGCAACCGAGAGGTCCTGGGGGCTTCAGGATGTTGGTTCACGCGTAGAACAAAAGCGGTCACCTTTTGGCAGCGATGAACGGTTGGTTGTTCACACAAACATTGGACATTCCAAACATGTATTGCCTCTCTTCCACACCCATCTCAAACATCCGTTGCGGAATGTTGTGTCTGGGCAGTATGTCGGCATGAGTCAGGGCCCCCGAGGGAAACGCATTTTTGCCTGCTCTGCATGATTTCGGAGGTTGTCCAGGACGTCTGATGTCACCAGAGTGCGAGTTGAACCTTCCCAGCACCCGTATGTAGTGCATAACGGGAGGGGGCAGATGAAGCTAAAACCTGACGGCTGAACCATGAACTCATGGGACCAATGCTCTTCCCTATACCCATCAGGATAGACCGATACAAAATACAAAAACGACATCACAGTAAGATGTTTTGGCCCAAAAGCATTGCGCTTCGCGTCCGGATCTTATGGGGAAAATCTGGTTTAGTGGGCCTCTACGAGTTTCTATATTTCAAAACCCGTTCCCATTTAGAAAGACCCGTTGTATTCACAGCTTTATAGTTCAATGTCCGGCGGCTTGGAACCGAACGGCTCAATGGTTCAATGGCCAGCCCAAACAACTATTAGCTTAATGGGTTCATGGCTTGGTGGGTTCATGGCCACTGGGGACGGCCAACGATGCTACGAATTTAGAGTTTAGAGTGTCGGTAGGCGTTTAGGTTTAGAGACATTGAAAGCGTTACAACTGAAACAACATTTGCCGCTTTTGGGAGGTCACGGGCTTCCTACACGAATCACACTCATCTGCAGTCTGAAGCATGGGGTTTAGGGTTTAGGGTTTAGGGATGTCAATTACTCTTGAGATCGGCCTCTTAATGATTCTTTATAGTCGCCGAGACTGAAGCGACGATGTCCAAGCGCCAAGGGTCAAAAGCGAAATTTGATCGTTTTCTGCGGAGCCGGTATGCCAGCATTGCTGAAAGCAGAACCACAGCGGGTATCACAGCCAGCCACATAGTCAGACCATGAAGGACAATAGGCAATACGACTTCAAGCAAGCTCTGGGTGTACATCAACGGCCAAAACGAGTGGCCCAGGTAGAACCACATGACGGGACTGGCCGCTCCAACCACGTGCCAATACAGGAAGAACGGACTCGTCAATTGTTCCAAAAGAGCCGTTCTCACATTTCCCCTGACATGCTCTTCAAAGCTGTCCAGGTCCCCGTACCACAGCTCAATGCACCGCAACAAGACTTCGCGGTCGCAAGCAATTGGCCTATCATTCTCATCTAGATGCCCTGCATCGCAACAGCCGCACCTGGTCTGCCCAGTGCTGAATGTTGAAAGAGCCTGCTGCAAATCATCGATTTGCCTGCAAAATGCTCGGGCGACATGAGTTAAAGCCAAGAAAAATGGCAGGAGCATAGAGAGCGGCAAAACATATGGCCGACGCCAAAGCCCTGCGATGTAGCGCAGCATGGGTTCGAAACAAAGCAGAATTACAAGGAAGCTCAGGTTACTCGTCACCAGCATGGGCCCCATGAGGACAGGGCGAGCACGCAAGTTTCGCTTTGCGGCTGTTCCCTGCTTGTGGCTGTGCAACCAACCCGCGAGCTCAAACACACACCAAAGGCGCACCATCCAAGTGGGGTCCCAGAGAATGAGCCTCCGCGTCTACTAAAGCCGACTATAGTTCGCTAGAGTCTATTGTGACATACTATTTTTGTGTATGTTATGATCTATGAGACCGTTCTGGCAGCCCAGATCTCTGTCCATTGTACATCTATGAAACCAATGGTTCAGAGCAGGCTGGGAAGTACTCTAAAGTAAACTCGAAACCTTACACCCGTAAACCCCACAGGTTATCGTATACTACAGTATATTCCCTAAACCCTAAACCCTAAACCGCTGGCTGCCTAGGAACATTCTGGAAGAACTCTTCAAGATGGCCCCGATGCTGAGCAGGGCTTCGCCTTTGGCCGTGCTGTTCGCCTGGTCAATGCAGATGATGTCGAGGAACACACGCCGTTGAGATGGCCAGAAGATCAAGGCAAGGTACCAAGCTAGGGCGCCGAAGAGCAGGGTCCAGTTAGAACCGGCAAACAACCGTGTCCAGCCGCGATGATCTGTGGGCAAAACCCCCCTTTCTTGCAGGACTGCCGTCAGAACAGCACCAGCCAGACCAAAGACCATCGCGGCAAAGCCGTTGATCACGAACTGCGCAGTGGTGCTTTTCATCCTGGGCTTGGAAGTAACCGCAAGAAAGATTCGGGGATGGTTTCCATATTACGGAAGCAATCATCGCGTGTACCGGTATACCACATCCGAAGCCCAGCATCCAAGGCTTCCATTGCCAACTGTGGGACCAAAACTCCCCGATGCAGCGAGTTGCCCGGCTGTATTTGTGCAAATGGCCCACACGGTCAAGTTTCGCACGGAATGCTTGCCCACATGTCCTTACTTGCACACCACCCAAAAGGAAATCCTAACCCTAAACGCTTCCCCCAAGACCGTGGCTTTGTATTGCAGATCTGAGTGTCCGCAATGCATGGCGGGCCGGTACGGCTCGGATGATCTCAGGCCTTGTGGCCCGCATGTTGGTCAAAATTGCCACCTCAGCTGCTGAGTTCCGTGGACCAAAAGATTTTAACCGTGTCAGCATGGTCGCATTCCATATCGGCATATAGTTGGCTGTTCTGCGCTGAGGTCTCCTGGAGTACATTATACAAGTATCAGGGAGTATACGCCTCAGATACCCTGCCATCGTGGCGGGGATCACGCAGAGTGCTTACGTCGCCGGGGCCCTCTGACAGCTCGCCGGCGCCCGAGGCAATTTCTACCAAGTCCACATCCTCTGAGCAGGGGCACGATCATGGCTCTCTGCAGGTTGCAGCAGCCCCAAACCCTTCCACCGTAAATAGCATGCCCGTCATACATGATCCGCTGACGTAGACTATGTCTTATTTGACGTATGCATTGGACCAAGAAACCTGGACGTTTTCAACAAAATACAGTTTTTACAAGAGTCATGTTAATGATCCGGGTGGAGTTAAAGATACCTCCGGCGCCAGAAATTTTGCGATTTGCTTGAGTTTTAATTGCGCAGAGTCATATGCCCGAAATGGCCAAAACAATTGATGTTAGAAGGGGGAGTGGATTTAATTTAGGGGGTGGAGTTAATAACACTCCGGGCCCAAAATCCCCGAAATCAAAGTAGGTGCCAGTAAAGGAAACTAAATAAGCAAAAAGGAAAAGGACCCAAAAGACAGGCAGCAGAGTGCAGTTCCGCAGACCGGGTATTGAACTACCAGCGCAAGGCTTTCTTGAGAAGGCTACTTTGAAAGCAAAAGCAAATGGGCCTCGAGACAGAGGCTCTGCT